GGGCGAGGTACAGCAGAAAGACTGGAACAGACAGGACAACAGGGATAAAAAGTTGGAAAGGCTTTACCTTATCAGAGCAGTGCACCATGGAATAAATTGTGTTCACTGGCTCCTCCTTGGTGGGGAGCACCTGTAAAACACCCACCTTCCCCTCAGTGAGGGAGCCCAGGCACAACCTTATGAGTCCCGCTTCCTACCTCTGCCCCTGCCCATCACCTCTCCCTGGTCCCACCTTCACTAGGTGGCCTCCTCTCCCAGCCTCAGCTCTGGTTTCATCCAGCTTTGGAGAGGATCAGGGTCAGGTCACAGGCGGGGAGCAGGGAAGAGTGGGTAGCAGTTGGGCTCAGTCTCAGTCAGAATTTTAGCTTTCCACGGGCTCTGCTGGACCCAGCTGACCTATCAGCCCAAGCACAGCGCTAGATTGACCAGGCAGACCTCGTTTTCCCCTTCACTCCTTGGAGACTTCAGGAGAGCAGGCTGGTGGAGGCACAGAGGAAGGTGATACCATGGAGAAGCCTGACTCAGGGTAGAGGGGGGCGGGCAGGAAGGTGAAAGGCAAGTGGGAGGGGAGGCAGTGAGACAGAGTGCATCAGCCGGAGGAAAGCCAGCTGCTGCTGCAGCCAGACCAACAGGTCAAGTTCAAGGGGACCCCTCTCCATTCTGTGCCCTTGAAACCCCTTTAGCAACCCATTCACATGTCAGGGACTACGTAACAGTCCTCACCTCACTGCAGGGACCCCCTTGTTGGTCCCCTATAGAGAGTGCTTTACTCTTAGTCATGACTCTCATCTAACCTGGAGTCGGACCTCCACGTGGAAGCTTAAGGCTCCAACCACTGGGGGCTGCCATGGGGTGACACTTGGCCACACTCCATTCTCATGGAAGGACTCAGGGAGTCATTTCCCTTCCATGGCATTTCCTGGTCGGACCCCCCCAGGCCCTTGGCTCAGGCTGCTGTCTAAGCAGCAGTGAGCAGAGGTCTGCTGCCCACGACTCCTGTCACCTCACCTTGGACGGGGGGATTTCATCATAGATTCTCGACTCTGCTCTCTGGGTGTCTCTCGAAGCCGTGACGTATGCGTATGTAGTTCTCTTTGAGGCAGCATCTGTGTCACAAACAAACATAGAAGCACAGTCTGTGAAAGGCGGCTGAAGTCTTAGAGATGATCTAACCTAATGTTCTCCTTTTGAGATGGAGACACGACACCCAAAGAAGTTAAGTGACTCCCATCCTCTTGAGATGGATGCTTGGACCCCTGACTGTCTGTCCCTTTTCGAGGGATAACAGGTGGTAGGAGAAGCGCCTGGCTCAGGCCTCACCCAGAGCTCACCGGGAATTCCTTTTTAACCCCAGAGCCCACATTAGGATAAGGAGATCCTCCCCAATCCTGGTGTGGGGACCCAAGGGCTTTCCTTAGTGTCTCTGGCACTTCGCATCCACTGCCTTGCATGGCTAGCTGTCTCTCCATGTGAGGGTCTTAGTTTTTTCCGCTAGTCTGAGTCTTTCTAGGTATGCACTGTGCGGGACTCTTGTGGTGCACACCTTGCTGTTACCACCTCAGTGCTTAGCACACAGTTGGTGCTCCACAAACACGCGTTGCTCACTTGATTGATTCACACAGTCAAACACTTGTTAAGCTCCCTCTCTGTGCCGAGCTCTGTGTGAGGTCATTGAGAAGCAGGCAGGAGAGATAAGTCTCTACTTTGAAGAACTCATAGGCTGGTAGAGGCATTTCTCCCACTGTGCTGCTTTTCTTTCCTCCTGATATGGAACATTTCAGGGTCAAGTTGAAAAGAGATGGCCAGAATTTGGGGTCTTCATAGTCCAGGGCACCAACATATCCACAGACAACAAGTTTGAGCTGAGCACTATTACAGGATCCAATTTCAGAATTTAGTCCTTCCCCAGACCCTGCTTCAGACTTAGTGGGTGAGCCACACGGGATGCTCTCAAAGGACATTTATTTCTGCCCCATCTTGGATAAATGACTTCAGTCCCAGAAAGAAGGAAGGTGCATTTCCACATTTATCTCATTTGCAGATGAAAAACAGCCCTTTTTCCTTCCCAAGAGGCTGTGAGGGATTGACAACAGATGTGTCTTTGAGGAACCCTGAAGATCACCTCTGGCCCGGGAAGGTTGTGTGACTTCTCCCCATCATGAGACTCTTTGAGTTACGGTTCGTGTCATCAACTCTCTTCCCCCAGAGTGCCTCCTTCTGTGTCAAGCCCAGGTCCATCAGTTACAAGCGGAGTAGCCAACATTTACTGAGTACTTATGATGTACCTGGCACTGGGCCAAGGATTTTATATGTGTGATTCCATTTAATCCATTTAATAAGTCTATGCAGCGTGCCCTACTTTTATACATTTTATTTTAACCACTGAGAAAATGGAGACTTACAGTGATAAAATAACTGGTAGTTCATAAAAGGTCAAGCTGGGACCTTCACCCCAGACTGCCTGCAAAGTACGAGCTCAGGCATGGCTACTCTGCTGTGAACTCATCTCTTCTAGTCATCATCTGGGGAAAACTGTGACTGAGAACTTACCAGGGTCCTTACTGAAGATCTTCAAGTAGGAACCTGAGAAATCAAACACAATGGGAGTCAGGAACGTGGACAAGAGGTACAGCCTCTCTACATCCAGGCTCGTTATTAGGATTGGTGGGAAAGGAAGATTTTTGGGTGGACATTTTGGGTTAGGAGGAATGGGACAGTATAGTGATCCCCTGGGGCCTAAGATCAGGTTTCCTAATTGCAAATGGCACAATTACAGAATGATCTAAAGGGATCTAGTGACCGTGGAATACAAAATTACTACCTGTCCCTCAATGACCTCCAAAAGTCATAGTCAGAATAGCATGGCCTTGGAAGAGACCCAGGACACCCTCTAGTCCAATCCTCATTTCACATGTGAGAACACCGAATCAGAGAGGTAAAGACACATGTCCAGTGAAGCACAGCTTGTTAATGACAGTGCTAAATGTGAACCTAAGTTCTGGGCCCACCACACCCTGGTGATCTCAGTAACAGATTTTGAAGACCATTGAGGGTAATGACATAAGCCTTTAGGGCCATCTTTCTGGGAGAAGGTGAGGTGGTGGGGTGGGGACTGTAGGAAGGCTGAGTCCCTGGAACAAAGGACATTTATTTCCACCCCACCTTGGATAAATGACTTCAGTCCCAGAAGGAAGGAAGGTGCATTTCCACATTTCACTGTCTGGGAAAATCATACCTTGTCTTCTCTTGCATAAAAGGAACAAAAGCACTGAAGATAGAATGATTATCAACAGAGCGAGCACCACCAGCCCACTCAGCAGCCCAGTGCGGCGTGCATGGAGGCCCAATGAGAAGTCTGCAAATAGAAGATGCAGTGAGGTTGACTCTGGGGAAATAGTCCCAAGAGGCTGGCAAGCTTGTCTACATTCGGGGCGCCATCGATACTGGGTGTCCTCTAAGGGAGGGCCAAAACTCTGAGGGAAACTGCTTTCTGCTATTAAAAGTCAGGATCAGAAACTGAATCAGAGAGCCAAGCGGAGGCTGCCTCAGAGCACCCTGATGTGCCTGGCGTCTCTCAGAAGGCTTTGGACTCTTTTCCAGGGCTTCCTGGGAGGAGAAGCCCCCAGGGTCCATGCCTGGCATAAAGGAAGCACCTTCCCCGGGAGGACGAGTCCCAGATTCAGGTCTTCCAGCAGGTCAGAGTCAGGGTCATATCTGAGACTCCAGGAGAGAGGGACAGAGCTGGTTACCTGTACAGAGCTGCTGGGCAGAGATGGAGTTAGAATTGTTGCTGACAGGGTTCCAGGCTGTACACGTGTAAGTCAGCTCTTGGTTGTCAGGGGTCTGGAAGATTTGAACGACATTACCCACTTCCCCCAGGGGACTCCAAGTGTACGTCACATTCTTTTCTTCTTTCTCCATAGAGCATGTCAGTGTGACATTACAGGTGTTGTTCACAGATGTCATTAAACTCTGAGTAATTTTTGGCTTCCCAAGCCGACCTATGAAGGGAAAAACACATGAGCCAGGGGTAAGCTAGAGCTGGCTTCTACCAGCTTGTGAGAACTGACTGTTAAGTTTTCAGAAAATGTTCATGATGGTTGTTAAAAACTTACAGTGAAATAAATTATATTAAAAACAAAGCTAATAAATACTCAAAACTCATCACTTTCTAAATTTTTTGGACAATTTACGACTATCTATGCTCTAGAAGTTATTTATATCTAGTGTATCTGTCCTTGGTAATGATATGCAAAGTCTTCCCAACTCTGCATGTCTTAAAATCAGCCACTGTAGGAATATTTACACCATATTGTTTGGCAAATGCTACAAAGTAGCTTGATTTTCTGCTTTGTTGATTGTCACTCTAGACTTAAGAAAGCAAAAGAAGAAAGGGTACTAAAGCAAATTAAACTAAAAAGTGCATCCTGTCTGTTGCTGCTACATTATGAACAGCACCAAAAATGTTGGAAATGTTCTTCCAGTATTTGAAAACCATTATCCAGTTCAGCAAAGAAGTTGCTCACATCATTGACAAACAAGTGAAGTTCCGATACATAGGTCTTTGTTGAATCACTTTTTCCTTATTAGTTAAATTAAAGCATATACCAATCTTCATCCTGGTTGCATTCATCCATTCCTCATGTTAGTTCATTCATCAATTGCAGCTATAGAATGGCTGGAATTTAACTGTTCATCAAAAATCAGTGAAAGCAAAAAAAAAATATGTGCAGTATATTGTGTGTATGTATTTACATGCAATATATTGTATATGTGCAGTCATATTGTAACATTTCTACCTAATAAAACTGAAAAATGAAAAGAAATCCAGTGAAGGCATTCTGTGACAATTGACTATGTGGAATTTACATTAAAAACCATTGTATATTTTATTATCACTTGTGCAACTGGGTGTCATGCACCTTTTATGGAAATAAAATTCACAGTGTGCACACACAGCCTTTCTGACACCATTAAGAATCAGTGGAACATTTATCAGCACACCACTGCATGAAACACTCTTTAAGAATCTTTTTTTGGGCTCTGTTTTCTGGTGAATGTGTGTCCTCTTTAAGTTTTGTTGTTGTTTTTAGTTTCATTTTAAAGTGCCCATGGTGAAAAGTTCAAACCTCTTTAAAAGTTCATTTAAAAAATGTTTTTACTAAAGCAATCAAAAGATAAACTGTAAAAGTTGTAAGTAGTACAAGATTATTAAAAAGCAATTATATGTGAGTTGAGGCAATGGCTAGATCTGGAGCTGACAGAAGGAAAGGAAAGCGCTTTAACCAGGAGATAAGAAAATGACCACGTTCAGAGTTGATAAGTTTAGTTCGTTCTTGGCAAAGCTGCTGTGTTGCGGTTTGTTCCTTCGACTACAGCCACGTGAGGGAGGGAATAGAGGGAGGAACTGGCACATAGCTAATTAACATGCAGTCTATAGAGGCAAAAGATTCAGCAGTGTGAATATAGGAATCATTTGTCTGTACTTGTGAGGAAGTAGAACATGGGAAATTAGCGCTGCAGGTCTTTGATTCCAAACTAACCAGGAACCCTGGTCCTAAGAGTCTCTTAGAGGGAACCATTCCAGATCAGAATTAGTGAAGGCTTGGCAAAAGAACTTCTAAACAAGTTTGGAGCAAAGACCTTGATTAACTCTAACAGTGATGAATATGTGTGTGCATAATGAAACGTGAAACTTGATTTATAAGATTTATATACTTGATTTATATACATCTCTGCTTTTGGTTCACTTATATTTAGAAAGACCTTTTGTGTGTGTGGGTGTCAAGGTAGGGATGGTGGTGAAGAATAAGATCCCATCTCATTTTTCTCAGCAGGACCAGAGATGTTACCTACACAAAACTGATGGGCAGAGAAGGTCAAAGTTGTGGCTGACAAGCCTTCATCCTTCCAAGTCAAAGAATGTGGAAGCCATTGGAGACCTGGTTCAGAATCCACGCTCCACTACTGCCTAACTATGGAATGATGGCGAAGGTATCCAGCTTCACCAAGCGTTAGTGCCCTCAATTATAACACGGAGCTAACAATTTTCTCCAGCTAGAGTGGTTGTGATTTATAAAGACCACTCTAATACCTGTCTGTCTGCCTATGTATCCTTGTATCTATGTATCTATGTATCTGTGTATCTATGCATCTATCTATCTATCTATCTATCTATCTATCTATCTATCTATCTATCTAATTATCAGTCTATCTGTGCTTGTATGTACATTAATTTTCTATTGGAGAGGCAAAATAAACTGACAACAGTCACTGCCTCTGGGAAGGGAGAATTGTATTTCACTGTATTATCTTTTGCTCTCTTTCTGCATATATTGCCTAAATATGTATAATCTTCATGTATTTTTAAAAATTAGGTGGTAGAAGCCCAGACACATAGGTAGTATTCAATAAATGTCAGTCTCCTTTTCTTTGCCTTCTTAGCTAACTGGCCCCAAAGTACAGATTTTGTCGTAAGAGCTTTCTCTAAGATTTTACAGTAGTCTGCCCTAATTACTGATGGTGTAACACCTCCTAAAGACTGAGTGGGTAAAACTAAACGTATAAAGGGATGAAAACAAATGTCACAAAATTGAATGACCTCTTTATTTTCTCAACCAAAGCTCTTGAATGAGTCAGATACTTTCTGAAGTGTCTACACTTGGATATGATTCTTTGACTTTGTCACTCAGGCCCAATTCAGAGTCTTCTTCATCGAGGGAAACCTTCATAACTAGAATCTAAAAGGGGGCTAAGGGTTAAAAAATTAGTAATGACTGCTAGTTATTAAGTATCTAAGGCCATGCACTGTACTAGGAGCTCAATTAACACTATCTCATTTAATCCCAACTATTACAATCTATATTCTTTAGATAAGGAAATTTGGGCACAGAGAAGGTAAACAACTTGCCCAAGGTCACACAGTTGGCAAGAGTTCTAATTCCAACATTAATACTCTTTCCAATATGCCTTCCATCCAGATACAACATGATTCAATTATGCTACGTTAATTAAGCACTTACAATTGCCAAGCACTGTATTAGAACCTGAGGCTATTATGATTAATTCATTTCTCCAGTCAATACTTCTGCAGTACCCGCTATGTGCCAGGCAAGATAGGCGCTGGGGAATAGTGATAAACTTCATATACAAGTCCCTGCCTTTATGGAACCTGGAATTTTAGTGGATTAACTGTTTACCTGAATTGTATATGTTAGTCACATTTCTGAGTTTTTCTGCTGTGGGGCAGATGGATGGTAAATCTTTGAGTCATGGCTCAAATATTCTCTGTGCTAGAAATTAGTGCTATCCAAATGGAAATAAAATGTGAATCACTTATATAATTTAAAATTTTCTACTAGCCACATTGAAATAGTAAAAAAAAAAAAACAGGTAATATAATGATGTATTTTATTTAATTCAATATATCCAAGATGTTATCTTAACCTGTAACCAATATAGAAATAATTAATGAGGTATTTTGTGGGATTTTTTTTTTTGTGCAAAGACTTTGAAGTCTAGTGTGTATTTAACACTTAGAGCACATCTTAATTTGTACTCATCACGTTTCAAATACTGAAGAGCTGCATGTGGCTAGTGGCTACCATATTGTACAGGCTAGATTAGCACTTCTCAAACTTCCCCACATGTAGAAATAGTCCAGAGAGAATGTTAAAACACAGATTCCTGGACTTCACCACCAAAGATAAGAGTTGAAGCCTTAGAATCTGCATTTCCAGTAAGTTCCCAGGGCATGCTGATGCTGCCAGTGCACAGACCACACTTTGAATAGCATTACGTAACACACCACGGACATCTCCCGGTGAATTGTGGTAATTTAAATGATGATAATAATGCTTGTAAAAGCATTTTGCCTTAGCTACTGGAGAAATTAAAATTAAAACCAAAATGACATATACTACATACCCATCAGAATGGCCCAAATTTACAAAAATGGTGATAACGCTGGTGAGGATGCTGAAACATTGGATCATTCATATGTTCTTGGTGGAAACGTAAAATAGTTTGGCAATTCTTTTAAAACTAAGATGACTCTTAAAAGTTCTGAAGAGCGCTATCAAACCATGAAAAGACGTGAAGGTAATGTAAATGCATATTACTAAGTGGAAGAAGGCAACTTGAAAGGGTTACATACTGTATGATTCCAACTACATGACATTCTGAAAAAGACAAAATTATGGAGACAGTAAAAAGATCAGTGGTTGCCAGGGGCTGGGGAGAGGAATGAATAAGCAGAACACAGGAGGCAGTGAAACGATTCTGAATGACACTATAATGGTGGCTAACTATATATGTATTTGTCATTATCCATAGAATGTATGACACCAAAAGTAGACCCAAATGTAAACTACAGATTTTTGATGATTATGATGTATCACTGTATATTATCAATTATACTAAATGTATCACTCTGATGGGAAAAGTAGATAATGAAGGAGGCTGTGCATGTTGTGGGGGGCAGGGTGCCACTGGGAACTCCTGTACTTTCTTACTCAATTTTCCTATGAACCTTGAACTGCTCTAAAAAAAATAGAATCTATTTAAAAAGGGGAGAAAAAAGTTCTGGAGCTGAAGAGAGACGATGATCTCATAACAATGTGAATGTACTTAATGCCACCGAACTGTACACTTAAAATGATGAATATGTTAAATGTTCTGCATATTTTATTATAATGAAATTTTAAAAAATGGATTTACCAGATGATTTCATTCTTGGGCATTTATTTTCAAGACACAAAAACATATCTCATGCAAAAACTTGTACACAAACATTCATAGCAGCTTTTTTTTTTTATAATAGCCCCCAAACTGGAAACAACTAAAATGTCTCTCCATAGGTGAATGGTTAAACAAAGTAGTACAACTATTCCATGAAATACTATCCAACAATAAAAAGATGTACCCTATTGATACTTGCAATAATTAGGATGACTCAAAAAATAATTAGGATGAGTGAAAAAAGCCAATCTCAAAAGCATGCTTACTGCATATTCTATAAATGCAAAATTTGTGAAATAACATAGTTTTAGATATGAAGAATGGATTAATGTTTTACAGGAGCTTGGGAGGGGAAAAGGGGTGGTAATGAGACAACAAAGGAAAAAAGGAATCTTGTAACATTGGTACAGTTAAGTATCTTGATTGCAGTGGTGGCTATGCGAAGATACATATTGTACAACTGTTGTACAGAGCTACACATATACACGTAAATGAGTGCCTGTATAACAGATGGAATCTAAATAAGTTCCATAGATTGTGCCAATACCGATTTCCTGGTTTTGACTTTGTCCTGTACTTATGGAAGATGTTACCACTGGGAGAGCCTGGGTGACATGCACTCAGGACCTCCCTGTACATTTCTTTACACTTTTCTATGCATCTATAATTATTTCAAAATTAAAAAAGTTACTAAAAGTACTTTGCATACACTATCTTACTTGATCCTCACAATAACTATAGGAAGTAAACAGTATGATTATTCACACTTTATAGAAAAGGAAAATAAAGCCCACAGGAAGAGTATAGAGCTAAAGGCAAGCAAAGCCACATCCTCTTGATAAGTATTGATATATTTATGTAAGTAGTTATAAGTATAAAAAGATTTAGGGAACCCAATTGTCAGGTATATAGATATTCTTTGGATAGAAAAGTGCAAAGTAAAAATGAAAAATGAGCCCTGTCTTCCCACAACTTACGGTAGACTTGAAGGTTGTAGCACCTGGTGGTGGTGGTGAACTTCCCAGGGGTCTTTGTATTTATGTCAGCTTTGTAGATCCCTGAATCTTCCATCCTTAGGTTTCTGAGCTCCAGGTTGTAGTTCTGACCTGAGACATTTATTCGTTCATGGTAATTTTGGTGGGTTATAGAAACTGTAGGTTCTGCTCCTGAGTTTCCTGGTACTACAAAAGCAACAGATGTTTTGGAATTCCAAGCAATGCTGGTAACCTCCTGTGATTCTTGGATATTTAAGGGGAAAGTAACTGACTCCCCCAGAATCCCATTCAACATGAGGATGTCTGTGTCACTTCCAGCTGCTTCCATATCTAAGGACATAAATAGAAAATTACAGCCATTTGACTTTTTCATCTTTTAGAGTTCCCTGTCTCCCCAGGCTTGAATCTCCCTGAGGGGCAGCTCATCCAGTTTCTTGAGGATATCTTTTTTTTTTTGCATTCTACTACAGGTATATTCTAAAAGATTCTTATTGAAAAACTAAGTTTCCCAGTAAATTTTAAGGGATCCATTTCATTAAAAACATATTTACCTAGACGTATAGACTCTGAGAGCTAAAAGGAATTTGAGACCATAAGCCTCCAAGAGATCTGAGATATTAAATGTTTTTCTCCCCAGGATCATATTGTCAAGTGGCGGAAGACCTGGAACAAGAGCCTGAGATGATTACTATGGTCTTCACAAAAAACAAAGTTAACATTTATGCCTCTATTCTGAGAAGATACAGGCAGAGAGTGCTTTAGAGGCTCTGGAGTAAACATTCCCCACGTTGGTAATTTTGAGGGGTCTTTTTTGTTCACTGCTGTATCCCGTCTTTAGATGAGTACTTGACACAGGGTGGATGCTTAGTATATATTTGTGGAATGAATTAATAAATAGAATTCACCTATGTGCTGCCTAGGCTCTCTTGGAACAACTTCTGAAGTAAGCAAAGTTCATTTATGAATGAATGAATGAATGTATTTATTCAAGTTCAGCTTTGTTCGAGATACTATGGTAGGTATTTATTAGTTTATAATACAAATGTTTGTTGAGGCAAGGAGCCGGGGGGACAATGGTGAATAAAAATAGATGCAGTTCCTGCTCTCTGCAATTTAACACTTAAAGGAGGAGAAAGATGTCGATCAGGTAACTAACTACCAATGAAGTAAATGTCACTGTACTTTGAGAGAGAATAGGAAGGGAACTTGATTTGTTCTGGGAATCCAGAAATACTTTCAGGTAAAAGCTGAAGGGTGAGTTCTTGTCAAAATCTAACATGGAAAAAATGAAAAATTAATCTTCTTCTCTTCCCCTTCATCATGTTACAAAGATAAAATGATCTGATACATATTTTATAAAATGAAAGGCAATATAATCACAAAGTGTTACTGTCTTTTCTTCCTCCTCTTCTTTCATTGCTCTGTTACTCTCACTGAGCTCTGTTTGGTGTGAAATAGCATTCTGAGCCAGCATGAATAATATTCAAAATCCTTAATAAACAATAAACACAGCACTGACCAATCAGAAAAGGCTTCAGTCATAAATATTAACAATAATGGGGCCATTCTAATGAGTACTGGTTGCACGTAAGCCCCAAAGAGCAGAACCAAAGTTTCCCATGTAAGTGAGTTCAGAGTGACCCTAAAGTTTATCCAGGGCTTGGCATAAAGAGGGCAAGAATGAAGGTCACTGAGAATATAAGTTATTCTGAAATGTCAGAAGAACAAAGAGATTTCTTAATCTGATGGTGGTGTCTCACTATGGCCACCTTACCCTCTAACCCATAACTCCTGGATGGCCAGGGACTACTGATATACACCTCTTTCCTCTCAGAACACCCACGATTTTCCCTTAGGAGGAAGATCCTAGGCAAGGACTGGAGACTTAGCTGGGGTGGGCTAAGTGCAGATGGAGATGTAACAAAGTCCTGGGGGAAAGGGGTACACTAAGGACCCTTATCTACATTTATTAAGTGCAAACAAAGTGCCAGATGCTGTGTTAGGGACTCAGGCATGACTAGGAGGTGGCAGCCCCGAGGAGCTCACAGCCCAGGAAATAAGACATTTGTGTATACAGTTGAACAATAACACAATGTGATGGGTGAGAACAAAAGGAACAAACCACAAGGGGAATAGAAGGAGAGACTAAGCTTTTGGGTGGCAGGAATCAAAGTTTACCAAAATCCAGTTCCTTGAACATTAATTCTCTGCAGATAAACTCTTCCACAGGGCTGATGATGTCTGGAATAGGGACACTTGGGAGTGCCCCAACCTACATCCTTGAATGTCCCAGACATGGACATGTGGCCTGTGCAGTCATACAGAGCCTTGAGCTCAGAAGGACCTGAACTTGATTTAATGCTGCTGTGTCACTTTGGATTTCATAATATCATTTGAACAAGGGTTCCCATATTTTCATGTTGTACTGGGTTCTGCAAATTACATAGCTGGTCCTGGTGTCAGATCTCCCATATCTTGTAAGTTTTTTTTTTTTTTTGATATCAGGCCCTGGTACCTAATTTCCATTCTACACTTTGGAGTCAGGTTCACATGTGAGAAGGCAAAAAAGGGGTGGGTTCCATATATTTATAATCCTGGTGGATTCTCTCATCAAACTCAGGAAGTGTGTAAGCAGTTTGCTAAGGCTGAGACCTTCTCAGTAAGAAGGGAGTAGTGCAGTCACAAGCTGGTTGGTGTATGATGCTGATTTTGAAGTATGTCTTATCTCCTGTAGCAAGTCACTCAGGAAGTGATGCTGGGGTGAAGTGGCGGGAGTGGCAGAAAGGCAAAGCTGGGGGAAGTCCTGCTGCTTTTCTGTACTATGGTGTTGTTGGGTTTGCTGAGAACAGATGTAGGGCCTGCAGTTCTGTCACCTTCAAACACTCCAGTGCGGTCTGAGAGAGGAGCTGCAGAAGCATAGCACGTCGTGGAAGGATAGTGAGGCTGAAGACATAGGTGCCAGTACTTCTGCTTATGAGCTGGGCAACCTTAATAAAGTCACAGGAATTTTCTGAATCTCAGTTTTTTCATCCATAGAATGGAAACAATAACTATAAAATTTGCCTATCTAATTAGTGATCAGAAAATCATAGAATATGAGTGGAAATGCTTTGTTAACCATCACAGCAAAATAAATGTCAGTTATTTCTGAGGCTATTAATGATAATGACTCTCATCTTCATCATCATCTTAACAATTGGTACATGCCCTTTGGGGTTTCCCTAGCCCGTTTCTACGATGGCCTTGGTGACACCAGGACCATACTGAAGAATGTATAAAGAGCCATTATTAAGGGCTGATTCAAGTAAAGTCTAGAGGGATAGTTTTTGGTTTCACTCCACCTGGTAGACTTTATTCTTCTCTTAAAGACTGCAGTTAAAACAAAAAGAATCTCCATATCAACCAACCCCAATATTTATTTTTCTAGATCCTAAAAGGACTCAAACATTATATTAGTGTTGGAGGAGACCTTAAGAAAACCCAATTTCAGAGAGAACTTGTGGCACAAAATATCTTAAGGACTTACCATGAAATGCATTATGCAAGTCTATGACCAAGAAATTTCCCCGTCTTTTTTAGAAATTTCATATCTGGTAAGGGAAATAAGACACACACATACACATAACTCTCCTCTGCAATGTTAGGTGGTACATAATAAATTCAGATGAATGGTAGAGACAGTCATTGCAGCAGGAATTCAAAGAAGGGAGAGATCACTTTGAGCTGCAATGGTCAAGGAAAACTTCTTGGAGCAAAGAGAATTTAAGAAAGACCTGAAGAATGAGTAGAATTTTACTGGATAGAGGGAAAGGATGGGTGTCTTGGGTCCTCAGGTCCTGAATAAAAATTTAGAAGCAGAGAATGTGTGATGTAGGTTGCATAAGCATAGACTTGCATAACAGAGTAGAGATAGATAAGGCTGGAGATATAAATTAGGTTTAGATTTGGGACAGCCTTGAGTTTGAAGTCTATACCACAGGCAGAGGGGAGCTATTAAAGTTTTTGAGAATAAAGATTAAAATAATGTTTTAGAATCATAGTGATATGGTAATGAAGTGTGGGAAGAATGAGAGGAAAGAGAAACTGGACTTGAGAGACCATGTCAGAGGCTATTGTAGCCATCTGGGCATGAACCAGGGAATGATAGTAAGAATAGAAAGGAAGGGCTGTATTTGAGAGATAGCGCAAAGAAAAGCAAGCAATAAGGAGGCATCTAATTAAATTCAGCTGTTCAACAATATATTTTGTGTGTCTACTTCATGTCAATGGAAAACTAATTAAGTTGACTACTGGAAAATTGATTAAGTTTATGCTGGAAAGACACCAAAAGGAGAAGACAAGTTTAGGGTTAAAAATACTGAATGTGGGATGATGATGGACCATCTAAGTAAGCAGTTCGAAGGATGGTAGATAAGAAGAGAGAATGGGTTTAAAGTATTGTTTTGGGGTGGGCTGTGGCAGAATCTGCTAACTGCTTTCCAATGGTTCTTTTTGCCTCTAATTTTTAGCCTGGAATATGGACACCCAGAATAAACACTATATTGCCCAGCTTTCTGCTAGCTCAGTTTGGTCATGCGACTAAGTTCAGGTCAATGGGATGAAAGTTCAAAATGTTGTATTGACTTTTATGTCTTTAAGAAGAGGACACTTTGCTTTCTTCATCACTTCTTCACTTCTTTCAGGCTGAAATGCCATGACAACTGGATCTCAGACATTTTGGATCAAGAAGAGGAAGCCAAGTATTGAGAATTGTGGAGCAGGAAGACTGAAAAAGTACGGATCCCTGATGATCTTGTGAACTATTCTACCAATGGAGCTGCCACCTCCAGATATTTCACATGGGCAAGAAATAAACTTCTTTCTTCTTTAAGCCATTCTTATTTTTGAGTCTCTGTCACTTGCCATCAAACTGAAATCCAAGTCGTTTAGGAACCATCTATGGAAAAGAGGTGATTGAAGAAGAGGGTCACTTGGGAAGAGTAAGGCTGAAGTCCAAGGCTGAGCCTGTGAACAGTGCCCACAGTCATAGAAGAGGCACTATCAAAAGAAACTGAAAAGACCAAGTGGTAGGAGTGGCAAGACAGTCATCAATGGTGGGTAATATCTTGGAACCCAAGAGGAGAAAGAATCTCAGGAAGATGTCTAATTGATTAGTCAGTCTGATGTCTAATTATTCAAAGTGTTCAAGTGAGATAAAGACTGAAAATGGCCCCTAAATCTGCCCATTAGGAGACTACTGATGGCCTTTGAGAATGTAGTGCAATTTAAGATGTTTCAAATGGAAGCCAGAGTATAGAGGATTTGAGGATAGAATAGGTGGTAAGGGAGTGGAGAAGCCTGATAGTGAAAGAAAGGTTATAAAATAGAACCATAGCTAGAGGGTCAAGCAAAGCTGATTTATTTGATTTTATTTTAAAATAAAAGATATTGGTGGGGAGAGAGTGGCAGGGAGGGAGAGAAGAGAGAGATTTCCTTGATGGCATCTGCTCTAGGTTAGGTGTTCCTACTCATGCAGTTGTGTTTCTCTCTCATAGAACATGCCACATTGGGTGTTCGTCACGAATCCTGTTTCTGGACACTGTGAATCACTTGAAGCTGGGGACCTTGAATTCAAATCCCCAACCCAGCACAGTGGCCACCAATGCTTGTGCGGAACAAAAGATGGAATGGCAGTGTCACACAGCGAAGGGTTTTCAATCAGAGGAAGGTCGTGTCTTCATCTGAAGTGGAAGGAAAAAAGGAAAGGAAGAGCAGAATGATAAGGGTATTTTGAGGTGTTTTGGGGGGTAGGGATTGAAGAAAGTCTGCTTGGTGAGGTGGAGGGAACACAGGTTTGATGGGTGTATGATCAAGTTCAACCCCTGACGTTTATGGAGGCCCTTATCTTCCTTTACTACAGGCTAGGCTGTAATAACGTCTGCCTCACAGAATTATTGTGAGAGAACATAGAAGGTGTTTAATTTATAGTGGACATTTTGGAGCAGGGAGAATAAAATAGTAGACAGTCATGCTTGCTGGCCTTCACTTCTTCCATAATGTAGGAGGCGAGAATGGGCAAGGGTGGGACTAGTTAGGAAATACAAGGGTAAGGGTTGCAGGTTTTGAATCCAGGTATATTTGAACCTAGATATGTTATATTCAGAAAATTATTTAAATTCTCTGGTCCTCAGGTTTCTCACCTCTAAAATGTGGATAATTATTAAGTGCAATTATGAAGATAAAGCACTTAAAACAATGCCTTGCACATATAAATGGCAGTTGCTATTATTATTTTTGATGAACATAAAACATTTGAGGAAATGCAACTCTAAGGAACACCCTAGGGAGTTAAGAAGAGATTGATTATGGGGATAAAGGGACTGCTGAGCAGCGTTAGGAGCCCAATGAAGAAGCGATGACCCACAGTCAAAACATCCCCCAATGAGTGTGATTTCTTGACTCCCACAGCCAGACCACACAGCAGAGAAGGGTTGGAGAAAAGCAACACTTCTAGAGAAGAAGCAAAGGCAAGAAAAGGCTGGAACCCTGGGGAGTGGGCTTGGATGGAAAAATGTTTCACTGTGACCCCAGGTAGCTATAGTGAAGAAGGAACCTGAGGGGTAGGGTGACACCAGTTTGGACAGAGAGCACTGTGAACAGCCTATTCATTGGAACTGGATTTCCCCTCCTGGAGGAGAAGCTGGGGGCTTTTCCCAGCCTAATATACCTTTCTATGTCTTAGGTGGTCACTCCTGTTTCCCTGGATGAAGCCATGCGTATGGATGGACTTTACAAATATACCATTCATGATAAAGTAGCTGCCAAAACCACTGACTGGAAGAAAGCAAAAGAGAATATGAGAAAAAGAAATGTGTTTGGAAAAAAAAAGAATCAGAAAATTCATCTGGGTTAGAAATATTGATGGAATAGGAGGACTTTAACTGGATAGAAAAAATTCTTCATAGCTGAGCAAGAGAAACTTGCTACAGAAGTGTTGGGTGGAATCCAAAGTGATTTTGAAATAGCAAATATTGATGCCAATGGATGGGTGTTCAGACCTAAAACGTCGTAGTTCTCCTTAGAGTCTATTAAAAACAAAGACAGCATATACTTGGGGTTTTGAGGGGCTCCCTAGTCTCCTTTCATATACTTTGCCATTTTCTTCTAGATCCTGTCTGTTCTGGCCCCTCCCCCTCCCTCCTCATTGCCTACCCTTCTCTCCCCTACTCACTCCAATCACACTGGCTTCCTCATCCTTCAAACCAGTTGAGAACAATTGCTGTTGCCTTAGAGACTCTGTACTTCCTGCCCGCCTTGTCTACAACACTCTTTCCAGCACTCCCTCACTGTGAAACAGCTCCCATATCATCTCATCAGAGAGAGCTTTCCTAATTGCCCAGTTTAAGTAGCACTCCCCTCCCCATCACTCTCTATTGCCTTGCCTTACTTCCTTTTTCTTCCTAGAAGTAACAACTACTAAAACATTGCACATATTTACTTCTTGTCTTTCCCACCCACACTCCCATGAGAATATAATTGCCATAAATGCAGTCTTTGTCTGTTTTGGTCACTATTATTTCCCTAACAGTTAGTGGATGATTATTAAATATTTGTTGAAAGAATAAATACTTTTTTGGCTACTGACCCGATTACCCATTTTCTAGCAATAAAAAGGAAGGTAGAAAATTCAGAGCAAGAGTAAGACTGAGGGAAAGAGAGAACTCTACTGGTCTCTGGGTCTTAGTGTGGAAAGTCCATAATGATTAACAAGGAAGAGCAATTGGCTAACTGTAACTTCTTTCCACTTCAATATTCTCATGCTGTTAACAAATTTTTTTTGCATAGATCCTCGGGCTGGGGAAATCATAACCTGGTTAGTAAAAGTGTCTTGAGCTAGGGATCAAGAAACATGTTCTAGTCAAGGCTCTGTTGCCAACCAGCTAACTGACCATGACTAAGTCACTTACCTGCTAAACCTCAGGATTCTAGTTGGTAAATTAAATAAAATTCCTCCTCCACTTTGAGAAATTATGAGGATCAAATGACAAGAGAGTGCTCTCAAGTGTGTATAGTAACAGAGAAGAATCTAGAGACCCCAAAGGGAGTCTTGCCCCGAGGAGCACTGTCTTTCTGCCCCTGTGTCGGGCACTACGAGTTAGTGATGAAGAGCCAGGCTGCCTGAGCTTGAATTCTGCTTCTGCCCAATTCTAGCCAGGAGACCATGGGAAAGTTAACAACCTCTCTGTGTCTCGGTTTTATCAGCTTCGAAATGAAGCTAATAGGCTAATAATAGCACTTACTTCAAAGAAATGTTATGACAGTTAAATCAGTTAATATCTATAAGCCTCTTAGAAAAGTACCTGCCATCTACTAGACACCATATGTGTTTGTTATATAAAACAAAAAAGCACTGTTACAGAGATTAAAATAACAGCCCCAGGCAACTCTCATGGGAAAAAGAAGAGTTGGAGTATTGGGAAGATCTTGGAGAAGCTCAACATGAAGGTATTCACAAGCGTGGAAATAAAGAAGGGTGTATGGTTGCTTAACAGCTACCTACACCCCCTCATTTCTTTAGGATCCTTCAAATAAGGATTTCTTGTTCTTTTTTCAGCACTAACTAACCTTCCCCATCTCTCCTCCCATCTACTGCTTCCCTTAATCCAGGCCTAGAAGGGTGACCAAAGGTAGACACACTCTGTGGCACTCAGAAGGTGATGGTTGTAATCAGTTCTTCTCAGTGAAGGAAAGTAGCAGGCAAAGAGGAAGCAAAGGGGTAGCAGCCATAAGTTTTGTGTCATTCTCCATGATGATGAAAAGCCCTTGGTCATGTGGTTTTTAAAAGGAGGAACCTAAATTACATCAAAAAAATAAAATGCTTGGGAATAACCCTGACCAAGGAAGTGAAAGACTTAGAAGCTCAGAATTATAAAATGTTCATAAAGGAAATTAAAGATAATTTAAAGAAATGGAAAGATATTCCATGCTCCTGGACTAGAAGAATTAGTATTGTTAACAATAGCTATTCTACCCAAAGCAATCTATAGATTAAATGTGATCCCTATCAAATTACCCAGGACACTTTTTACAGAAATAGAAAAAAAAATCCTAAAATTTATGGAATCACAAAAGACCCAGAATTGCCAAAGCAATACTGAAGAAAAAGAACAAAGTTGGCAGCATAACCCTCTCAGACTTTAAACAATACTACAAAGTTACAGTAATTAAAACAGCATGGTATTGGCACAAAAATAGACATATGGATCAATGGAACAGGATAGAGAGCCCAGAAATAAACCCACATACCTACAGTTAATTAATCTTCAACAGAGGAGTCAAGAGTACACAATGGAGGAAAGACAGTTTGTTTGGCAAATGGTGTTGGGAAAGATGGACAGCCACATGTAAATCAATGAAGTTAGAACACTCTCTCACACCATACACAAAAATAAACTCAAAATGGTTTAAAGATTTAAATATAAGACAAGACACCATAAATTTCCTAGAAGAAAACATAGACAAAACATTCTCTGACATAATTGTAGCAATGTTTTCTTAGGTCAGGCTCCCAAGGCAATAGAAATAAAAGCAAAAATAAAGAAATCAAACTTATAAGCTTTTGCACAGGAAAGGAAACCATAAAGAAAACAAAAAGACAACTACAGACTGGGAGAAAATATCTGCAAATGATGCAACTGACAAGGGCTTAATTTCCAGACTACACAAACAGCTCATACAACTCAATAACAAAAAAACAAACAATCTAATCAAAAAATGGGCAGAATTGCTAAACAGATATTTCTCTAATGAAGACATACAGATGGCCAATAGGCACATGAAAAATGCTCAGTGTCACTAATTATCAGAGAAGTGCAAATAAAAACTACAATGAGGTACAACCTCACACTGTTCAGAATGGCTATCATTAAAAAGTCCACAAACAATAAATGCTGGAGAAGGTATGGGAAAAAGGAAACCCTCCTACACTGTTGATGAGAATGTAATTTGGTGTAGTCACTATGGAAAACAGTATGGAGGGTCATTATAAAAGTAAAAACAGAGTTATGATCCAGGAATCCCACTCCTGGGCATATATCTGGAGAAAACTCCAGCTTAAAAAGATATATTCACCCCAATGTTCATAGCAGCATTATTTACAATAGCCAAGACATGGAAACAACCTAAATGTCCATTGACAGATGATTGGATAAGGAAATTG